TTGGGGGGGGGGGGGAGTAGCATTTGAGTGTGAGGTGTGCAAGGTGGTGGTCACTGTGGGAATGGGAGCGCAGGGAGGGCAGGCGTGGGACGGCCTGGATAACGGCGCTGCAGAGGCGCATGCAGGCGCGCTCGGCTGCTGCTGCCGCAGCTGCTCGTGCAGGCAGCGGTACCCCCAGCCCACCCGGCATGGTGCTGCGCTCCCAAGCCCTCGCTCAGCCCGCCCGGCGGCCTTAGTCCAGCGTGCGGCCTAACTGCCCACAGCTGGGTCTCCCCGCAGCAGCTGCGGTGTGCTGCCGCGCCGGAAACTCCACGTCAGCAACAGCGTGGGCTGTGTGCCCAGCAACGGCGGCGTTCGTCGTCACTGGCGGCCGCAGGCAGCAGTAGCGGCGGCGGCAGAGAGCTGGCAGACGCCCCCGCGGCTGGCTGCCGTCTCTGAGCCCTCTAGCCGCGCCCTCCGACGCCCTGGGGGGGCTGCTTCCGCCTGCACCTCGCCTGCAGGCGAGTTGGGCGCTGCACGAGACTGTCGGAGGCGCTCTGGCGAGCCCTTCGATGCGCTTCGAAGACTGCAATTGGCGCTGGAGACGGGGGACAGCTCAAGGAGGCCCGGCGCTGTCATTGACAGCCTGTCAACCAGTGTTTCTGGCCCTCGTGGCAGCTTTGGCGATGGGCGGGCGATGAGGACTGCTGTCGCGTCCAAATTTCGCCAATCAGCTGGCGATGGCACATTGAGGATTGGCGAAATGCGGGGGAGCCACCCTTGCGCCTGGCACAGCGCAGCGGCCACATGCGGCGCCGCTGTTGCTTTGTCGGCACTTGCCTCCCTTTTGGGGGACTGGGGGCGAAGCCCCCAGCAAGCTGGCGCTTGTTTAACACTATGGAGTGAAGTTCCTGAGGAAAATTGGCCATTTCTCCTCAAAATATTGGCGATGTCAGTCATGGGGGCTGGCGACGCGCTGGCGATGTCGCCCCGCCGCCTGCCCTCATTTAGCCAGCCCTGGCTGGCGATGGCCTTCGGCCAATCGCCAGCCAGAGCCGTTTTTTGGCCCGATTTCGCCAGCATTTGGCGATTTCGCCAGCTTTCAGAAACACTGCATCACGCCCACCTGGCTGGGCGTGGCAAATGATCCAGCTCAAGGCATGCCCAGAGGAGCCCTGGCAGCGATCACTGAAATCAGCGGACCTCGTCAAGCTGCCGCCAGCGCCCCGCGCGGTCTCCAGAGCCGCCCCAAGGCATCACCGCTTTCCCAGTGGCCTCTGGCGCCCTCTGCTAAACCCGCAGCCATGGCCAGCTGCATCGTGCGCCAGCCCCTGCTCGCGGGGTGCAGAGCCACGGCCGGGCCCCGCAGCAGCGGTCGCCGCATGCAGCCTGTGCGCGCTACAGCAGCGGTGAGCGGGCGGGGGCAGTCGGGGAGGGGCGGAGAATCCCAACGAGCAGACTGCCCAGGCCGCAGCGCGGGCTGCCGCCGCCGCCGCCAAGTCCCACTCCCGCCCGCCGCCTGCCGCCAGCCGCCGATGCTGCGTCCCTCCCTTCCTGCCTCCACCTCCCACCTTTGGTCCGCCCCAATACCCATCCATCTGTTACAGCCGCAGCAGCAGCGCGCGCGGCCCGAATACGTCCCTAACCGTATCGACGATCCAGACTATGTGCGCATCTTTGACACCACCCTTCGTGACGGCGAGCAGAGCCCGGGGGCCACCCTCACAAGCAAGGTGGGCTAACGGACAGAGGCCGGTGCGGTGGGCGCAGCTTGGCCGTGCAGCCTTCGGCCACAGGCAGGCAGGGCACCCTGGGCAGCGGTGAGAGGAGAGCCGCTGGTTGCGTGCCTCGCCGCTGGTTGCGTGCCTCACTGGGGCGAAGTCCGCCTGCCGCCCGCCTGCCTGCAGGAGAAGCTTGAGATTGCCAAGAAGCTCAGCCAGCTCGGTGAGGGCGGCTGCCTGGCAGGCAGGCAGAGCTTTGAGGCTGCCGCTCCGCTTGCTGCTGCCATGGACGCGCCGCATCTGCCCTGTCCAGTCGCTGCCACATGTCACCTCGCCATGCCCCAACTCCGTGACCCCAGCACCTATACCACACATGCACGCTCACGCCCCGCCGCCGCCGACCCATGCAGGCGTGGACATCATCGAGGCCGGCTTCCCCATAGCTTCCCCCGACGACTTTGAGGCGGTACGGGCCATTGCCATGGACGTGGGCAATGCGGTACATGATGACGGCTACGTGCCAGTCATCTGCGGCCTGTCTCGCACCCGGGAGAAGGTGGGTGCTGGTCCGGGGGTGGTGGCAGGCTGGGGCTGCGCTGAGGTTGGCGGGCAGGCAGGCCCCAGGTTGCAGCCTGCGTTGCTGCTGCTGGTGCTGCTGCTGCTGCTGCTGTGTCGCCTTCCCGTTGCTGAGCTGTTGCCTTGCCCCACATGGATGATGCTACCTGCTCGCTGACTGGCGCCCGCTGCTGCCCCTGCCCCTCGCCCCTCCCCTCCCTCCGCCCACCCCCTGCTCAGGACCTGGAGACGGCTTGGGAGGCCGTGCGCCACGCCAAGCTGCCACGCGTGCACACCTTCATCGCCACCTCAGGTGAGCAGCGGCAGGGCTTGGAAGGGAGGGCAGGCTGCGGCCGGGTGTGTGCCTGGCGGCCGGCAGGGCGTGCAGGAGGGGCGGCTGGTGAGGGTGGATGATGGCGGTGGTCGCCCCAGGCCCAGCCGCCGTGCCAGGCCGGCCGCGGGTCGTGCGCCCTGCCCTCGTGCCGCCGGTCGCGGCCGCCGACGCTCCCACACCATGCAGCAGTGCATGCACTTCGACGGTACCTCAACGGTACCGCTCTCGTACCACCCATGTACCGCAGAGATCCACATGAAGTACAAGCTGCGCATGAGCCCCGACCAGGTGATCGAGAACGCGGTCAATGCGGTCAAGCACCTGCGCTCGCTGGGCTGCTCCGACATCGAGTTCTCGCCAGAGGACGCGGGTGGGTGCCCCGCCGCCCCCCCGCCGCCACCCTGCCCTTATTAGTTCTTGCCCTTGTATTGGTTCTTGCCCGCCGGTCGCGCGGCCTGCCATGCGCCTCCGCACGCCGCACGGCCGTCTGCCGTGCACGTGCCGATGCGCGCCGAGCGCACGCTCGGAGCGGACGGGTCGCGCCGCACAGCGTGTGCATGTTCTGAAGCGGGCTTTGGAAGCAGCAGGCGCCGCTAGCTGGAGCGGGGCTCTGCTCCTCTTCAAGACCCCCCCCGCCGCTCTATACTCCTCCCTTGCCTCCCATCCTACCCTGAACCCTAAACTCTTACCCCTGCAGGCCGCTCCGAGCCGGCCTTCCTGTATGAGATTCTGGCGGAGGTGATCAAGGCGGGGGCCACCACCCTCAACATCCCCGACACCACCGGCTGGACGCTGCCGCACGAGTTCCAGGTGGGCGCTTGAGTGTGTGTGTGTGTGAGTGTGGGTGGTGGGGTGGTGGGGTGGGTGTGTGGTGGGTGTATGGGCCCTGCGCCGCTGGTCCCTCGTGGGCTGGCGGGCAACCCGGTGCTGCGGCCGGCAGGACTGGGGCGCCCCTGCTCCAGGCCGTGTTCGAGCTCTGGCGGCGCCTGATGCCGGGATGCGGGTCGGCCGCCGGCTGCGTTCCCCTCGCAACCCCGCGTAGCTCTCACGGCGCCCCCTGCCCCCGTCTCCACCCCCTTCCCTCCTGCAGTCTCTCATTTCCAAGATCAAGGCAAACACACCTGGCGCCGAGGGCGTCATCATCTCCACCCACTGCCAGAACGACCTGGGCCTCTCCACAGCCAACTCGCTGGCGGGCGCCATGGGCGGCGCGCGGCAGGTGCGAGGAAGACGCTGCCTGCCTGCCTGCCTGGCCCGAGTCTTGCTGGATGGCCGGCGGGCCTGCTGGCTGCGTGCTCGCCTTGTGCGCATCTACATGCTTGCGTGCCTGCCTGTTGAGGGCAGAAGTCGGGTGGACGGTCCAGACTTCTGAAGAAATAAAGAACCCTCTGCCCCTCCACTGCAGATTGAGTGCACGATCAACGGCATCGGCGAGCGGGCGGGCAACGCGTCCCTGGAGGAAGTGGTGATGGCCATCGCGCTCCGAGGGTGGGTCCCGCCTGAGCCGCTGGCACCAGGACTTACAGCTGGATCAGAGATAATTTGAACATCCAAGGCTTAGAGATAATTCGAACATTGGGCAGATGCCTCCCGCCGGCGCCGGCTGCGGCGGGCCGGGCTTGGGGCTGGGCCGGGCTGGCGGGCCGTGGCAGTGGGCGTGCAGCCAGAGGGGCTGGGCCGCAAAAACAAACAACAACAACTGCTAGGCGGGCCCCATCACTGCCACCCACGCTCCCTGCTCCCCCAAGCGCGGCGTCTTTGCATCCCCACTGCCCCCGCCCCTTGTGCCGCATGCCGCCTTGCCTGCCTGCCCTGCCTGCTTGACTCTTGCCTGGCTGCCTGCCTGCCTGCCTGCCTGCCCGCCCTGCCTGCAGCAAGGACCAGATGGGCGGCCTGTGGACGGGGGCCCGCCCCGTGCACATCGCGGCCGGCCTCCAAGATGGTTTCAGACTACAGCGGCATGATTGTGCACCCGCCCAAGGTGGGCAGCTGGGTGGTTATGCGTGGTTATGCGTGTGTGTGTGTGTGGGGGGGGGGGGGAGGGTGCGGCAGTTGGGTGTGGGCAGGGCAGCCCACAAGGTGGGCAGCTGTGTGTGGTGTGTGTGCGTGGCAGCTGGGTGTAGGGAGGGCAGCCGCACAAGGCGGGGAGCTGCGCGAGTGTGTGTGCTTGTGTGTGACAGTTGGGTGGGCACACGCTGGGCGGCTGCCGGGCAGGGCGAGCTCATGCCGGGAGCGGGGAGGCGGGGATGGGTGCGCTGGGCCTGCCGCGGCAGCAATCAGGCCGCTGGGCTGGCACCTGATGTGTGCCTGCTATGCTGCAGGCCATTGTGGGGGCAAACGCGTTTGCCCACGAGAGCGGGATCCACCAGGACGGCATGCTGAAGAACAGGGACACGTGAGCTGGCACCTGCTGAGCTGGCGGGGCTGAGCTGGCGGCTGCTGAGCTGGCGGCGCCGCGCCAGCTGCTGCGCGTCGCCGCTGAGCTGGCTGCCGGGCCAGGCCCAGAGCCCCTGCGCAGCCGGCTGACGCACGGCTGGCCTGGCCACTACCGCTGAAACGATATCGGCTCGCCGTACCGCCTGCCGTACCGCCGCCTGTCTGCAGGTACGAGATCATGAGCCCCGAGACCATCGGCCTGCAGCGGGTGGATGCCGCCGGCATCGTGCTGGGCAAGCACTCGGGCAGGTGAGGGTGGGGCCGGGCGTGGGCTGTCTTAAGGAAGTAACGCAGCTGCCAGGCAGCAGCGCGCACAGCCAGCCAAGCGGCAGCAGCCGCTCCAACCACCAGACCCCAGCTGCGCGTCTCTTGTTCTGGGGACGACCCCACCCTGGTTGTCGCACCGGTGGATCCAGTTCGCACGCGGTGCCCGCCTGCTCCATCCGCGCCGCCGCCTCGTCTGTCTCCCAACCGCCCCTCCGCCTCCTGCGCCCCGGCCCCCGCAGGAACGCGCTCAACACGCGCCTGGGCCAGCTGGGCTTCCAGCTGCCCGAGGACCAGCTGAACGACGTGTTCCGGAGGTTCAAGAATTTGGCAGACCGCAAGAAGGTGTGGGGGAGCTGCGTCTGGGGCTGGGGTCAGATTCTGGGGCTGGGACTGGGGCTGCGGCAGGAGGAGAGATGAAAGCAGTGCCCTGCGCTGCTGCCCGCTGCCTGTGGAGCACCTCTCGGTCACCGCCTGTGCCTGCCTGCCTGCGCGGCCCGCTCCACCTGACCCTCCGTGCGTGCCGCCCTGCCCCTCCCTTCCTGCAGAACATCAGCGACGAGGATGTGCTGGCGCTGGTGAACGACGAGGTGCACCAGCCCACGGTGGTGTGGGTGCTGGAGGGGCTGCAGGTGGGCCGTGTGTGTGGTGTGGTGTGGTGTGGTGTCGTGTGGTGTGGTGTGGTGTGGGTGGGCTGGGCTGGGGTGGGATGCGCTGGTGGCTGCCGCCTCGCAGTGCGCCCTCGCCTGCCAACCCATGCCGCCGTCTCTCGATGCGTGGGCAGCCCATCCTTTCTTTCTTCCCCACCTTGCCCATTCGGCAACCCCTTCCATCTTCCCCGCTCTGGAGCACAACTCTACAAGACGTCAAGGGGGGCGCTGGGTCAGGGGAGGGCCTCGCCCCAGCCAGTGCCCTCACCCTCACGCCTTGCTCCCGCACCTGCCCGCCCCTGCAGGTGGTGTGCGGCTCCATGGGCCTGCCCACCGCCACAGTCCGCATGCGGGGGCCGGAC